AAATGATAAAGGAATATTAATGGAAAAACAGCCACCCTATAGCAGATTATATTACTTTTCCCTGTATTGATTTCCACTTTAACATATTGGCAATTCCACAACTAGGCAACTTTTCAATAGATAGCTTTCATCCAAGTACTCTAAACATTCAACAGAACGAAAAAAAAAAAATTACACTTAAAGGATTTTCTTTGAACAAAAGATCTTGATCTCACACTCATAAACATACCTCTCTTAGAATTAATATGAAATCTAATGCACTGAGTACTCCAACAAACTGGCCCTTGGAGAATTCCCAAAGAGGAGCAATAGGGATACCCTGGAAATGGGTTAGCAATTAAATGATGAGTATACAAGCTCTCTTTATCAGAAGTAAAAACATAATAAAATTTCAAACAATATGAAATGCTAAGCATGTACCTGCTCATACAGAATATGAAATGCTTGTTTTACAGGCAAATCTACATCCAATGCAACAACCTGCAAATCAGATGCATCTGAATTAGCGGATGGATAATAATTTCCATTCATCAAAGGAGAAACAAATGCAGGCATCATAAAGAAGAGCCAACGGTAAAGCATCCAAACCTTGCCTGACTCGGGTAGCAACTCATAAGCTGTATGTGTTGACAAGAAAAGGGAAATACGGTTCTGGGATGCATGTATGTCCTCTGGAATGCTAGAGATTGGTTGATTTGGCTGATTCAATGGAATATCAGTAATTCAGACCCATATTGAATGAAATCATTATTCTTACTACTTGGAAAACAATTAAAAGGCTATAAATACATAAACAGAAAAATAACAGCCTGTGTGAGCATGAATCAAGGACAAAAATGCTACAAGGAAAAATAATTTGCAACACAAGCACATGGCTAGGTCTATGAAAAGGTAAGAGAATACAAAGAAGAAAATATGACTCAACTGGATGCTTAAAACTTTTGAACGATAATATATAGAACCCTACAATGCAGATTTAGAAATGAGAGAAAATCCTACTAGCAGAAATCAAAGCAATAATCCTAAGTCCCCAAGCTGAAAAGTAAAAAGGTAAAAATTATGCCAGCTACCAAGGTTTAGCCAGCTCTTACCATATGACGAAAGGCATTGTTATCCACCTCCATGTTAGATGTGGAAGTAGATGTCACTGGACTAGGTGGTATGTAAGTAGGCTCTGTAGCCAAAACGAGAGTGTTAACTATCCCATACTCACTAGTTGCGAAGGGTTGCTGTTCATCATGTTGCCATTCCCCATCAACGAAAAATTTGTACTGCATGTCAGAACAAATTGTAAGCAAATAAGCCCTCCTAAACTAAGATTGCAGGAAAAGAAAAAGATATTTTCCTTTTCTCCTTTTAATGTTTATATTTACCAAGACTGGAAAAACACTAAAATTTTCAATCTATCATCCTTGAATCTGCACCAGGAAACCTTCCAGATGGGTCAAACTTCATACAAATCCAAACTGACTAGCTAAATGTAGAAGAGACAAAGTAAAAAGTTCCAATAGTGTCTTGGTAACTCTTGACAATTTTCATCTTACTTTATAGATCATTAAACTTTTCCCCTTTTGAGTCCCCAGTGAAGTTTAGCAACTTGCACTTTGTCTTTCGAAAAGCATGTTCCTTTAGTTTCTACAAGGGCTACCCTGTCTACAAAATTAAAGCCTCTAAAGCTTCTTCAAGGTTTAAATGAGTATTGACCAATGCAATAATACACAATTAGTAACTTTTTTAAAAAAAGATCAAGATGAACAAGCACTGTTCAACAAATCCATGGTAATTCGTACACGATCAATAGAATATTAGTTTGACAGAAGTAGTGAATCTCAGGACCATACTGCACAAAACGAAGATTACCCACATAGCTCAAACCCTTGTTACTCGAAAATTTTCAAATTCCAATAGTCTAACCTGGTGGTAACCAGGAGGCAGGCTCCAAACAACCTGAAACACGTTAGGGCAACCTTCAAGCTGCGACATTTGCATCGTCTCGCACCACCTTGGACTCAAAAACGAATACCCATTAATAAAAAAACTAATCACAAGCCCTAAACACCACCTCGACATCTAAAATTCGAGGTTTACCTGCCGAAAGAACCAGTAAGATGCACAGTCTTCCCGCCATGCGGCCAAGTGAACGTCACCGGAATCAGCACTCCACCACCAGCCATTCCGCCGGTTTCCCGCGCTGAATCCATACCCGAAGCAAACATCAGCCAACCCAATTACCCAAAATTGATCCTCCACAAACAGACAATGAAAACGAAAAACCGGTTCCCAATCAATCAGAACTTGATTGTACGCACAAAAACCCTAAACAAGTCCTAAATTTTTAGTAAAAATCGGTGAGTTAAAGGGGATAAATAAAAATCGAAACCCTAAAAAGAGGTGATGGGAAAAAAATAATTGGAGAATTGAATGTGGGTGTGAAGATCGAGAGTGGTGGGATGATACAATGGAATCCAATTTGCCCTTTATTTTTTATATTTGGGGTTTTTTAATTTTGATCCTTAATATAAAAAAGACAGGATTGATAGAGACGTTGAGCAGTCATCATCTTCTGGATGGTTTTTTTTTTTTTTTTTTTAGTTGAATGGACAGTA